CCCCCCCCGCACAGGCTCCCTGCCGCACCTTCCGGGTGGTTGCCAGTGTCACTGCGCCCTCCCCTCTGATCGTTCTCTCCGATCCTCTCACTAGCCCCGGAGGTCTCTCTCGCGCTCGCTGGGGGAGCACTGGGAACCTGGACACTGATCCTACTGCAGGTGGAACACCGGGGCTGGGAAGCCTCACGCTGCCACTTGCACCGACCTGGTTGTGCATGAACTTGAGATTGATCCCTTCTAGGGTGACCTGCAGCAAGCCGCCCTCGCCAGTCTTCATGTCCTGCACAGGGAACTCGCCACCCAGCTCCGGCCCTGTGGCGAGGGAGGAGGTCGTCAGCTAACTGGGAGGGGGGGAGTCCCGCGGCCTGACCTCCTCATCAGGCCTCCGCCGCTCAGGACGGATGAAAACCAACATAAGGCACGCGCCCAGGGAGCCGTCCTCCGCTCACCGGGTTTGATGCTCTGCTGTCGGGCGGCGGCACGCTCCATGCTATCCTTCACGCAGTAGTACAGCTCCCGACACTGCGGCACAGTGGGGAGAGCTGTCCTGTCATACAAGCTCTCCAGGCTCCCCACCCTCTACTCTAGAATGGCTGCTGGAGGCCTGGGCCGATGCCAGGACCTCGGAGACAGCTCTACGTGTTCCACGCCACAGCCAGAGGCAAAAGTGGGGCTCCAGCGTGGATTCTGCAATGTTAACTTCCTGCAGGAGCTCCGCACTTTCCCTCAACGCCCAACCCCCAACGCACACAGAGTTCACGGGTACCTTCTTAGTATAGAATTTGTTGAGCTGGGTCTCAGAGCCGTTTCTACGCCACAAGCATAGCACCTTGGTCTTGGGACAGTAGGTCATGTTGATGAGCTTCTCATACCACCAGCGCTCGTACACTGTCCCGATGTTACTACGCAGCACCACGCAGTCGTCACACACCTGCAGAGGCACACGGGGCAGTCAGTGGCCCTGGTCTCTTCCCACCCCAGGCCACACTGCATGCTGCTCCCCACGGGGAAAGATGGGACAGCTGGTCCTAGGAGCATCCCCAAGGTCAGGTTTTCTGTCTTATGCTCAGTCTTTCTTACGTGGAGACACAAAAAACTGAACTGCCGGACACATCGTCCACTAGAAGGTTTACCGACAGAGGAGGAGCCGTTGAAAGGAACTTGTGGGCAAGGAAGGAGGCTCACTTCACGTCAGTCAGTGTTCATTACTTCTTGCGTGTTCTGGACTTAAAGTACGCAGAGGATATCTTATGCCTCCACCTTACAACCTTAGGAATCATCGCTATTGACAAGCACAAAGGCAGGGGATTAGGGCAGACTTAAGCGAGAAAAAAAATGGAACCAACACATTTTCTAATCCTGGCTCAGCTCTAGTTCTGCATAAATCTTTTCAAAAATTAATTACACAAGTGACACACGGACATTGCTTATTGCAAAAAAAAAAATTATATAAACTAAAAGGCAAAGTTCTCCACGTCCTCTTCTTGCTCAACATTCTCCCTCAGGTGGACATACCTGCTCGTATGCCTTCAATTATGGTGGAGACATTATAGCACGATGGGTAAGAGCACAGGTCTAAGACCAGACTACCTGGATTTAGATTTAAGGCTGTCTCCTTACTTAGCTGTGTCACCTTAAGCAAGTTAATCTCTGTCTATATTTCCTCGTGTGTAAGACGGGGATAGTAATAACTTCATGGAGTTACTATGAAGATTAAATAAGTTAATGTGCATAAAATTCTTAGAATCGGACTTCCCTGGTGGCGCAGTGGTTAAGAATCCACCTGCCAATGCAAGGGACATGGGTTCGAGCCATGGTCTGAGAAGATCCCACATGCCCGCGGAGCAACTAAGCCTGTGCACCACAACTACTGAGCCTGCGCTCTGGAGCCTGCAAACCACAACTGCTGAAGCCTGCGCGCCTAGAGCCCGTGCTCCGCAACCCCGTGCCCCTACAGCCCCGTGCTCCACAACAAGAGAAGCCACCGCAATGAGAAGCGCGCACACTGCAATGAAGAGTAGCCCCCGCTCGCCGCAACTAGAGAAAGCCTGCACGCAGCAACGAAGACCCAATGCCAGCCAAAAAATAAATAAATTAGTTAATTAAATAAATTTTTAAAAGAATTCTTAGAATAAAGCCAGGCACATAGAATGTACCCTGGAGTTAGCTGCTATAACAACAATACAACTAGGATATAAGAAATATAATAATAATTATTATGACCACGATGATGAGTCTCACATCTTTCTGCATATGAGACCTGTCTTCCTGAGTCCTGAGCTCTCTCTATCTGGATGTCTCACTGGCAGCACTTCAAACTCATCATGTCCAAGTCTGAACTCCACATCTCCTCCTGGGCAGCTCCTCCTTCTAAGTTCCCTATTTCAGTAAATGGCGCCACCGTCTCCCCCCGCTGCCCAGGCCAGAAATGAAGGAGTGATGCAAGACTCCTTCCATCAAGTCCCACCATTCTACCCCAAATACCCCTGGAACACACTTCCCCTCCCCGACTCCAGCCATCAAGTCCTCCTCTTCTTCAAGTCTAAGCTCAAAGGCCACTTCTGAGGGTCGCCCACGACTCCCAGACCCTCTGCTATGTATTCCCGTAACACCTGCCCCCTGAACATCTTCTCGCAATGCTCATTATATTTCATGACACTGGGTGTTTAATTATCTGACTTCCCCAATGGCTTGTCAACCCTGTTAGGGCAACAGAAACTATGTCTCCCTTATTCACTGATATAATCCCAAACCCAGCAGTGCCTTGGCTATGATTTGCGCCCCATAAAAATTAGGTGAATGAATGAGGAATATACAAGATTACCAGTTTTAGTCTACCATCTGAGACTTTACTGGGGCTCAAAAGCTTTAGGAAGAAAAGGGCCCATGTAGCTGAGTAGGAATTAGAAACTTGGATTCTAGCCCCAGGTGAAGTCTGTGGTTCTCTCCATGTGGAAAATGGAGACGACCACTCCACTTTCCACAACCCCCTAAGAACGCAATGGAAGGGAGAGGGACAGGCATTCAGAAGAACATATGATTTCTAGGCTAGAGAGATGATGGTAATAATGTGTCATACTTGCCTGTGCTGCTGGTAGAGGTGTAAACTGGCATAGTCTTTGGGATGGCAATTTGGCAAAATCTATCAAAACTGTAAATGCATATAAGCTTGACCCAGAAATTTCACACTAAGAATCTATCCTATAGAAAGTCTCATGTGAGTGTGCAAGGATTTATGTTCAAGGATAATCAGTGAAGCGTTGTTTAAAAAAAAAAAGTGGGAGGGACCAGTTAAATAAATTATGGCACTTCCATAGAACACCTAGTGGTTAAGCATCCATTAAAAATAATAGAAACAGGGCTTCCCTGGTGGCGCAGTGGTTGAGAGTCCGCCTGCCGATGCAGGGGACACGGGTTCGTGCCCCAATCCGGGAGGATCCCACATGCCGCGGAGCGGCTGGGCCCGTGAGCCATGGCCGCTGAGCCTGCGCGTCCGGAGCCTGTGCTCCGCAACGGGAGAGGCCACGGCAGTGAGAGGCCCTCGTACCGCAAAAAAATAAAAAAAAAAATAAAATAAAATAAATAAAATTAAAAAAATAAATAAATAGATTTCTATAATATGTAGACATATTATAGGTATGCCTGTGATACATTAAGTGAAAAAAGCCAAATTATATAACAATATTTGTAGTTTGATATCACTTTTATAAACACTGAAACAAAATTCCATAAAAGTAAGCTATATTTATACAAATATGCATTTTTTTAAATCTGACAGGATTCATGCCAAATTCTTTAACGGTGGTTACCGTTAAAGAAAGTAAAAGGAAGTAAAAGAAAATTTTTACTTTTTACTTTATTTTTACTTCTATATGGTTTGAAACTTTTACGGCATATACTCTATTACTTTTGTAATTAAAATAAAAGGCAATAAAGATGATTTTTTTAAAGTCTTTGCAAATTGCTATCCAACTACTCATGCAACCAGTAGGCTGTGCTGAGAACAGCTAAATCTGATAGCATCACAGTAGCCAGGCACTGATGGAATGAGCAAGGTACCCTCGCTTTGCAGTAGAAGGGGGAGCATCTATGAGATGATGGACCCACCCCATGCTCCAGGGCCCTCGTATGAGGCTCCCTGTAACAGTGGTGAGAGAGAATCCTATACTTCAAGGAATCCTCTGGAGAAATTTACTGTGGTGCAGATGTCCTAAGTAGCCCTCAGCTCTGATAGGCACCTAACCAAATTCTAACACTTCAAGGTGACATGAAAACGACTCCCTTCTCAGCTACATCATCATGTATGTTTCTGCCTCACAGCAGAAATCCCACCCTACGTTTGACAAACCACCTCTTTAAAAAGCTGTGAATGTGAAAATCAAATTCAATAAGCCAAAAGGCAGCAGAATATTAGCTAATTTCACTACTTTATAGAGGAGCAGTACTTGGTCCCTAAAATTACTTAGAAAGAGATCCATTTGAGAATTAAAAACACAGAAATGAAGAAAACATGGCCAATTTCCTTTACAATACTGGATTAAGAAAGGGTTTTTCTAACTATGACTCAAAATCCAGAAGCCACAAAAGAAATGACTGATATTACTTTAACTACAAAAAAGTAAAAAAATCCTGCATGGTGAAAAATACCATAAGCTAGGGACTTTCCTGGTGGTCCAGTGGTTAAGACTCTGTGCTCCCAATGCAGGGGGCCCGGGTTTGATCCCTGATCAGGGAACTAGATCCCACATGTTGCAACTAAGATCCCGCATGCCTCAACAAAGACCGGGGGCAGCCAAATAAATAAATAAATAAATATTAAAAAAAAAAATACCATAAGCTAAATCAGAAAACTAATGAGGAACTTTGCAGTGGATAGGTCAGGTTGCCCACATGTGAACCCATTGATCACTAGGACAGAGCCAACCATATGAGGCGACAGGAAATATACAGCACCACCTCTTCTTGCCAAAATACTGAATCTGAAACTGACCAAGTCTCTAGATTGAATTACTAGCTTGTACAAATACAGGTGATAGAGAAACACGTTAAACAACACTAAGGAGATGCAATCAGCAAAATATCTAAAATGTAATTGCGCACATTTCTTCAACAAAATAAATGGCAACGTGGGAGCGAAACTATTATATGTTAAGAGATACTTTAGAGTCATATCAACCATAATTATAAATGCATTTCCCCTTTGACCCAGCAATTCCACTTCTGGAAATTCTTAGATAAACCTGTACATGTGGGAAATGAAGCAGGCACAGCATCATCCAGAGTCGCGCTACTGGCAATAGCAAAAATTTGGAAGAAAATCAAGGGTACGTAAATACTGACTGGGTATATAAACTATGGTACAGTCACACAGTGGAACACTATACAGCTGTAAAAAGAATGAGAAAGCTCTTTTTGTACTGATACAGAAGATCTCCAGGATAAGTTTAATGAAAAAAAAAAAAAAAAGGTACAGATCAGTAGATATTATGTGCTACCTTTAGGTAAAGGAGTAGAAAAATAAGAACTTATGCTCATATTTTATTGTGTTTGCATAGAAAACCACTGGAAGATACAAAGTGGTTATAAATAAAAGTGGTTACCTCCAAGAGGAAGGGGTGAGGTGGATGGGAAACTGAGTGGAAGGGGATAAGAATGAGAGCAAGACTTGCCAGTGTATACCATTCTATGTTGTTCTGACTTATGGACGATGTGACTATATCATCTATGCAATCTATATATAAAAGAAATGATAGGGATGGACTTCCCTGGTAGCACAGTGGTTAAGAATCCACCTGCCAATGCAGGGGACACGGGTTTGAGCCCTGGTCTGGGAAGATCCCACATGCCGCGGAGCAACTAAGCCCGTGCGCCATAACTCCTGAGCCTGCGCTCTAGAGCCTGTGCTCCGCAACAAGAGAAGCCACCGCAATGAGAAGCCCACGCACGGCAACAAAGAATAGCCCCCACTCGCCGCAACTAGAGAAAGCCCGCGTGCAGCAACGAAGACCCAACACAGCCAAAAATAAATTAAAATTAAAAAATAAAAGAAATGATAGGGAATCATCTATTATATTAATTTATTTGCATAAGAGCCTGACAATTTAATGATAAATGGATCATGAAGATGAATGAGATAAGTGGGGAAAAATATTCTGGCATCAGTGCTAGGAGTTCCTTGTGACTCTCAAATATTGCTTTGGGCCCCTAGCATGAACCAGCACCTACCTCCATGAAAAAGATATCTCCATTTGTGTCTGTCCCCGCATGTACCACAAATGTCTGCTTCTTCATGTGCCGGCTGCCACTGGACCGGATAGAGAGATCTCGTCCATTCTGAGGAAAGAGAGATCCTTTAGGGACAACCAAACATCCCTCTCACACAGCCCTCTGGGCCAAGAATCCCTCATTCAGCAATTCAATTCTTATCAGCTTCCTTAGAGCGGCGCCATCTGCTGGCCACTGGCCGCCATGGATGTGTTCTCAAACTTCCTGGTCTCAGGACTCCTATTCATTTTAACTTTATTGACGACCCCCAAGAACTCATGTCTTTGTAAGTTTTATTTATCGGTATTTACCACACTAGAAATTAAAACTGAAAAAATTTAAATGTCTGTTAATTCATTTAAAAGGAATTAATAATTCATTAATAAATCCATTACATGATAATATAAAGAACATATTCTTTTAAAATAATCATATCTTCCAGAACAAAAAAAAAATGTGGTGAGTGGCACTATTTTACATTTTTTGCAAATCTCTTTAATGTTTGGTTTAATGAAAAATGCTGTATTCTCATATCTGCTTCTGCATTCAATCTGTTGTGACATATTGCTTTGGTTGAGGTATATTAAAGAAAATCTGACCTCACAGATACGTATCTGGAAAAGGGAGGAGTATTTTACTAGGCTTTCCAGATAAATATGCATATTCTTCTTTGATGCTATACCAGAACCTCAAGAAGTTTCTTAAAGTTAGTTGCAGTGTGTAATCTGAAAACACATCAATGAACACTTTGTACTTTGTTACATTAAAATCCATTCGTCTGTGTTACACTTGGAGTGGATCTTTTACCCACAGTTGGATTTGTAACATCACACATCAGTCATCTGGGAAATACTGGTTCGCCCAGTTATGCAGCTCTTCCAAATGTTGATGCACTTCATTACACAATATCAAAAAATCACATTCATCACCAATCTCACTGGAAAAGTCTTTACATATTGGGAAGCTTCATGCACAAAAAGTCTGCCAAATACCCAGCTCCAAATAGCAATAATTTGTTAGTCATTCTTTCAAGTAAAAATGATGTCCCATGACTGGCTGCAAAGCTGTCAGTTCACCTTGGAACTCAAATTGTCACAAATTCCCTTTCCTCGAAACAATCATATTTTCATTTGCAGCAATATGCTTTATGTATATTTCTCATTTTGTCACACAGAATACTAAGAAGATGTATAATCACTGATCGGATTTAATAAAACTGATGATTTTAACTGCTTCATCAAGGACATTCACAAGTGAAACTGGCTTTTTGTTTTATTTTTAACTGAGAGTGTGTGGAGGTGGGGACACTAGCACGGTTTGGTGCCACCATCTTCACCGTGTTAAGGCACCAGTGGTTTTACCCACCATTGCATTTGCACCCTTAGTGCAAATGTCAACCCAGTAAAAAAGGCAAACAACATTTTAGTATTATCATGAAAACAGTATTCACCTTGTGGATCCACAGGGGTCCACAGACCACACAAACGTTGAAATGGCTGCACTGGGATGGTTTTAGTGCAGAGAATCCTATCACAGAACAGAAGGGCAAAAGCCTCATCTAGAGTCAAAGCCCTATTTTCAGAACTAGGGATTTTGAAAACATACGAGCCAAGAAATGACCTATGCGGAAGCCTCTGCGTTAGGCCATGAGGCCCACGCCTGCGAGGCTGACTAGCGCGATGGAAGGGAGCCTAAAGGATGGCCCAGGTGTGCTCACCAGGTTTGCCAGCTGGTCAAGCACTTCATTGATTTGCTGGCTGTACACAAGCCCAATATGCGACTTTCCCATCAGGCGCCTCACCTTCTTCCGGATATCATTCTTATTTACCTGAAAAGCCAAAACAGGATCTTAATATCTTTCCTCCTGAGAAAAGGAGAATTCTAAAAGACCATATCACTGAGGATAAAACATTCGACTGTGTGTTCTGCCAACAGTCTGAGAAGAAAAACCCTGGTTCTGTCTCCAGGTGGCTTCTGCAGAAAAGTGGTTCTTAGAGAAGTTCTGCTTTAAGTGGACGGGGACTCACAGGGACACATCCTCCCTAACCCCCCAACCAATACCATAACATTCACCTCTAAAAACCCCTGGGGCTCCTCAGAGTGTGATTCTTAGATAGTAAGACTTAAGAGTAGCAAAGTTCTACACTCAGTGGTCACCAAGACACCATCTTAGGGTTAAAGATCACCACCCTTTCCCAACCAGAGTTTAACTGGTACCCCTGGAGTTCAAGAGACCCTTAAACAGAAAAGGAAACAAACCAAGAGTGCCTGCAGGGTATTCTCTGCATTCGATCAACTAATCCCTTCACATTTAGAGAGGCTGGGAGAACAGGAGGAGGAGAAACCCAGGAGCTCATTCTCAAAACAACTCTCTTCTACCCACCAAGTCCCTTTCAGAACAGGACTCTTCTATTTGGTAACACAGTTCTCCCACAGCTGTAAAAACCAAGTATAACCAAGTCAAACTAGAACCTACCATTGCTTTTTCAATGAGTAGCTCTTTTTACATCTATGGCAAAGTCTGTATGATAAAGGACTAATGCTGAAAAGTAAATTCTGGGCATTCTTTCTAAAGTTTCAGAGCCTACTATGTAAAAAACAATTTTTTTCCACTGTATTCTGTGGGGAGTTCTACAGGCATCCTAAAACTATTTAGCAAAGGAAGCCCATTTAAAATTCAGAATAAACAAGTGGCGTGCAATCATCAATCACCTTTACAACATTCCTTAGCACAACAGCCTGGCAGCTTCAGATAAATGGATCATGTGTGAGCTGCAGAGAGGCCTCAGACTTTCAATGAAGAAGAGAGGCCCAGCAGGATGCTCTGACTGCTTCCCAGCTGCCCCAAGATTTAGGCAACAGGAACAAGCCTTGCCCTCCAGTATCAGCAGTAGCTGGGCGTAAGCAAAACAGACATTACCTTCATCAGCAGCATGTAGGAGATGAGGTTGTGCAAGAGCGTGGCCAGCAAACGATCTTCATCATCCTCTAGGCGCTTCCGGTCATGTTCTCCTAGGGACAGGTACCTGAGCAGGAGACCAGGACAAGTCAGCCCCCAGGTGGGAGAACAAGAATTAACTGGGAAGAGACTGAATTTGCATTTTCCCAAGGGTTTCTAAGCCTCATACCTGTCTATCATTTCCTGGGGACCCTGGTCCATACCCATCCCTTCTCTCTCCAACATCACAGCATCTAAGAACGCATCTTCCCAGAACTGCATTTGGTCCCATAAAGTAGAACGCTCTTTGCCTGTGTGGAATAGAGTTTTTTTAGGGGCTTATATAACATATAAAGAATATGGCTGCCAAACTAAAACAGAGTAAATTCCAGAAAAAAGGAAGTCATTACAAATTCCAGGGCAAAGGAAACACGAGACTCTTCACCCCAGATCTAACATTCCTGCCACCAGCCCCAGCTGCCTCCAAGTGAGGCCCAATCCCTCCCGAGGAGGAGGGATGAACAGCACACAAAGAAAGGTGGTTACTTATAGAAAAGGTCTCCATAGCAGCATCCTCTAACTGGTCCCACATCGATCCTTTGTCCCTTCCTGCCGATTTGTGAGCAGGAAGGACCATGGTAGCAAGAAAGTAAAAGAAGACAGAAAGACAGAGGCTGTTGGTTAATACCAAACTTCAGTGTCTTCTAGTTTTCACCCACTGTTTTTTCCCCAGTAAGTCGCTTGCTTCAGACATAAAAATGTCCTCTAACATCAGCACTGAGATCAGCAAAAAGCCAAGCAGCTACTTGTTCAGTGCCACCCTCTTCCCGGGCTGAGTCCAGCTTCCTTCCAGTGCAAGTGGCCTTCGCAGTCTATTTCTCACCTAGGAGTCCCTCGTAGAGATAGACTCGCTGGCTCACATCTTCAGAAAAGCGAACTGGGCTGCCCACCAGCTTCTCCTTTACGCTTGGCTTCAAGCTGTGGGCTTTACCCTAGGGAGAAGAGGCAATAGGTCAGCTGCCAGAGGTAACAATGAATAGGGGCAAAGTAAACCAAGCAGCTCATTAAGAGGCTCACACACTAGGCACCATCATTAGTCACATATATTCCAGTAGCCCTGCCTTTGCTACTCTGCTTGCCTCAATCAGAAGTCAATCTGATAATCCCGCTTTCTGTTACTGCCTCCCAAAACATGCAATCAAGTTTTCATTTTTACTTACCTTTACCCTTTAGTCCCTGTAAGACTCTTTCCTCTTAAAAAAAAAAAAAAAATTAGGCAAATTCTCTGTAGCAGCGTGATGCGGTGAAAAGAACACTGGGTTTGAAGTCTAGACTGACCAACGTTCAGATCCCTGCCTCCTACTAGCTGTGTGGTCTTAGGTACAAAGCTTAGCTTCTCTGAGAGTCATTTTCCTCACCTGTAAAAGGAAGGTTATAATACCTACCCGAAAGGACTATTCTCATTTAATATGAGAAAATACATATAAATCACTTAATGGTGCCTGGCACATGGCTGGTATTTGATAAATGTTAAGTTTTCTCTTCTACCATCTCTTAGAAATACCTTCCCACATAGAAATACCACTAACTTCATCTACCACTTCTGCAATATTAGACTTTCTATTCATTCAAAAAAGATCTTTGGCTGGGTAAGAGGTAGTTTTCATGCCTGCTTCACAACACATGCAACAGCATAAGCAGAGAAGCCACTGAACAAAGGTTATCATTAGGCAATACCTAATTAGTGTGTCCAAATGCCAGCTTCCTGGTTCACAGCGAAGGACTTTCTTCAATGAACCATATTAACCTAAGGTAATTTATTTCTTACCAAAATAGCCCTTTTTGAGCCAAGAAATTTAGGTAACTGCTCTCAGCAACTCCACTGCACAAACAGCCTTGCCCAGAAGTACAGGGAAAGTAAGAATTTGTCCCAGGAAGGTGCCAGGGAAGGTAGCACACAGCTGAATGGCTTCTTGCAAGACTGCTACTCCATAACATCTATCTCAACCTCCAAAATGGAAGCACACTAGAAGGATTTAAAATACTCCTGGGGCTTCCCTGGTGGCGCAGTGGTTGAGAATCCGCCTGCCAATGCAGGGGACACAGGTTCAATCCCTGGTCTGGGAAGATCCCACATGCTGTGGAGCAACTAAACCCATGCGCCACAACTATGGAGCCTGCACTCTAGAGCCCATGATACTGAGCCTGCGTGCCACAACTACTGAAGCCCACGTGCCTAGAGCCCATGCTCTGCAACAAGAGAAGCCACCACAATGAGAAGCCCGCGCACCGCAACGAAGAGTAGCTCCCGCTCACCGCAACTAGAGAAAGCCCGTGCGTAGCAATGAAGACCCGACTCAGCCAAAAATAAATAAATAAAATCAATAAATGTATTAAAAATAATAATAATATAAAATACTCTTAATTAAAAGGGCCTGTTTAGACTCAGGGAGAGTTAAGGTCCATTAGCTTGAATGGCTCTGCTGACTCTCAATCCTATCCCCTACCTCCACCTTGGGATGTCACTTGCTCTATTAGAAACATGTATACAGAAGGCCCTGGGGGTGGGAATGATCACCAGTGTTAAATAATTTATTTCATTTCAATTTCATCTTCCATTCTCCCCACAGACCAAAGAGAAGAACCTATGAGCTCGTGTAGAGAATATCCATTCTCCACTCTGCCTAACCAAGTGATGAGTGTATCAGAACCCTTAAAGCTGCCTAAAGAGGCCTGTATACACTGAAGGGCAGTGGGTCTAAAGGCAAGGACTAAAAATAATTCATTTAATTCCAACTGATCACCGGCTTATTGTATAACCTAGGGCAAGATCTTTTCTTCCTAAGGCTTTGTTTCCCTCACCTGGCAGAAGAGATTAGTTGTAGCAATACACTGAATTGCAAACTTCTTGAAAATGGGAATCATGCCTTATCATCCTTGTTTCTTTAGTACAGAATCTGGCATTTAGTAAATCACTTAATAGATGTTTATTAATGAAGGAAAGCTTCAAACATACTACGTGAAATGAAGGAATATACTAAAATGAAATGCTATTTTAAGGTGCTATATAAATAAAGCAGTGACCAGAATAAAACTAGACTAGTCCATAAAAATAGGTAGACTGGTACAAAATGAGAGCTGCAACTGCCCTGACATTGCTATAAAGGCATCACTTCGCTTATTTTAAACACGGGGGTTACTGCCACATAGGAGTCAAGGCCCTTATCTGACTGGGCAGGAAGCCTAAGTCATCAATGATTCAGGAGAAGGGTCTAAAAGCCCCATATCACAGAGTCAAATGACTCTGAAAAAAGCTAACTTAAGAAACATTTTCTTTAAAGTCAATTATATGAAGGTTATCCATTCCTTCCTTCCTCTTTTCCTTCTAATTGCCTCCTAACTTTTCATCCTTTTCTAACCCATCCCCATCCCACTGAAAAAATGGTCTTCTTTTGTTAGTAAACAAACTTACAAAGATGGCACTGGTGGCAGAGTTGGTTTCAATTTCACTATCAGACAACGTGCCTCTAGAGCCTGCCAAGTGGGTGCTGCCCTCACCGCCTGCTCCATCACCTGCATTGCTGCTCAGGTCACTGTCCGCTCCAAGGGTCTCTCCAGAGCTATTACTCACCTGGAAAGGAAAAAACGGTGGTAAGGGATATTCCCCAGGATGTGTCCCAGAAATGCCAAGCTGCTAGAGCTCTCTGCTACCATAAAAAAAGTTATCCAACTTCAAAGGTGTGCCAGACAGCCTCTGGAAGTACCTTCTTTACAAGATGAGGAGAAGCCCTGGGTGAAATCTCGGGGTCTGATCCCACAAACAAAGACCTATGACAGGTAGACATCTCCACCAAGAGAACCAACCTGACCTGAGATTAAGAACAGCCCCCAAAGGAGAGAGCAGCCCCCTTCTCCGAAGGGGGACCCACACCCCACCCACCAAGATGCCAGCGTGGTGTTCCCCTACCACGGTGCTAACTTCAGAGTCCTGACTCGAGCTTCGGATCATAGCGGCCGGACTCACACCAAGGACAGAATCTGGATCAGTCCTCTGAAACAAGACACACGGACTCAGACACATTCGGGAGGTGTCCGATCTAGTCTCAGTTTCCCTGAGAAATACTGTATCTTCTTCCTTCTCCCCAACCCCACCCTTCTAGATAGGTCATGAAAAATGAACATTTTTCCTGAATATAAAATATATATGACTTACAGAGTGAGAAAAATAATGAATGTTAAAGAGGTACATGCTCACTACAGAAAATACACGAAAGAATAAGGAAATAAAAATAAGCCATAAACTTACCACCTACGTTAATCTCTGTTAAGTCTTTAGCATATTTCCTTTCAGTCTTTTCTATGTATGTTTTAAAAATAAAATTTGAATCATACTGTATATAGCTTTGTAAACACTTTCCCATGTCACCAAATTTTTGAAAATACAGTCATTAACGGATACTAATATTCTATTACATGGATATATTACACTTATTTCATCATTCCCCTATGGCTGGATATTCATGTTGTTTCAATGCTGTCATTTTGTTCAGTTTTGATCTTAAAGAAGTATTCTGAGATAGCAAATTTTTAATGCTCGCAATCCTCAACAAGGCTGTCACAAACCTGGGGACCAGACGTCAGGCTCACACCACTGTCTGCGCTGACTTGGGACTTTTTCTCCTCTGTCTCACCAAGGTCAAAGGTGGGTTTGATTACTTCAGGCCCTGAGTAGGGGAAGACTTGTGTTACTCAGTACAAGAGGCTAGGGGCAGGCTGGCGAAGGGAGTGGGACAGCAGCACAGCCTGGTCCCAGACCAGTTCAGCATGTCCCAGTCACCTTTCCAGGGACTGCCACCTACTCAGGCCGCACTGGAAGAAGTCCCCAGATGCCTTAAGAACCAAGTAGGAAAAATTAAACCTGGTCTCAAGGGGTTCTGCAGCCATTTTCTCAACCTGAGAAAATTCTGACCAAATCATCCTAAAGCAGAAAAGTTCCACAAACAAACATCTGAACCACATTCCACTGTACTCAGAATCAGAGCTTCACTCGTGCCTAAGACCCTTTAAGGGTCCCCAGGTCACTCTGCTTCCCAAACAAATACGTCTAAAGGGGCTAGAAAAGGAAGAGCCCAACGAGATTAAAAAACACCAGCTGTTTCAGCAGACGCTGCCCACCCCCACCCTGCAGCTTCCGTGTTTGACATTAAAAAACCACCCCCACATTTCCCGCCCGCCCACAATGGTATGGCAGAAGGACAGGATGACAGAAAGCAAGAAAGCGTGCCTAGGCAAGCCACCAGAGAGAGTTGAGAAGCTACAGACTCAACACGGAGGGACAGCAACCATCTCTGCCAACTGTGCCCACAGGCCTTCTAATGGGTGAGGGAGATATCAGCCAATGAGGGGCACTGAAATAGGCAAACATTCTCCCCACCAACTCGGAAGCAATAGAGAACCAAGCTCTAAGGGATTTTACACAGTAGATGCCCTGATTACTGCCTGATTACTACAAGGGGAGGGGGAAAGAAGCAGCCTACAAGCATATACCTATGAGTCACATAGCACCTACCTGCTTTCATTCCAAACACCCGCCCCCAAGAGCAAATTTGGGGTGGGGCTGACAAAGGGAGCCTGCCCCAACTGGGCCTGGGGAGTTGGCAGGTATGGGAGACTTGGGAACAGGAAGGGGCATTTGTTCCTTACTCTGTTTTTCCAAAGCTTTTTGCTTTTTCACCTCCTCGTGCTTGTTCCACAATTCTACCCCAGATGCAATGTGAGCAGGAGAGAAAGACAGAGAGAGTCAGAGGCTGGTCAGACAGATGAAATGGAGACCCACCCACCCAAGCTGATTCACTGTCAGGCACAGGATTACAAATCAAGAGATAAAAAGAGACCTTCATTGCAGGGGAAGGGGGTTAAAAAAAATCAAGAGATCTAACGCCTTCCCCCCAGGTCAAGAACCAAATTCCTATCCTAACCTCAATGTGGCAGTAAAAATCTCACAGAATGTTAGAGCCGGCGGAGCCTTTAATCAAGCTCCTTCATTCTGGCAGGAGGAAACTGATCCCAAAGAGGCTGGAGCGCCTGCTCAAGATCAGGTAGCTCAGGACCAGTTTAAACTTCCACCACAGCACGCCCTCTGCCAAGTGAGCTAGGCAACAGCAAATTTTAAAGATTCCAGATAAGACAGATGATTACCTCAAGCAGCCAAAGGGTTTCAGAAGCATGAGCACAAACCTGTTTGATTCACTGGATTGGAGAGAGGCCACTCAAGGTAGGCAGTTAGCATCCCTTCTTGTTGCTACCAGAAAACCCCACCTTACCCTCAGCATCAGTGCCTGCCCTACCAAGAGACCCATCTTAGCCAGTCATTGGGAAAAAGGCTTCTGGTAGAGGTGACAGAAAACACTAAATGGTCAAGAAGAGCATCTTAGTAGGGGTTAAAAGAGAGAGTACCGATCATGGCAATTCTCTTCCTGGAAGAGCTTTAGAGTCTACTTAGTGCAATCTCCTTGTTTTCCAGATGAGGTGACAGAGACCCTGAAAGGGGAAATGATTTGCCCAAAGTCACTTTCCTAGCTGGGGGCAGATACAGGACTAAAACTCCAGACCTCCAGACTGGCAGGTCAGTACATTTTCTAGAACATCACAACAGGCAGGAGAAAAGCATGGTTGACTGCCTCTAGGACAATATTTTGCTGGTTAGAGAAGCGCAGCTCTCCTAAGAAGGAAACTGGTTCCTCATTACCATTTATGGGAGCAAAAGGCAGCTGCTAATGGATGTGGCAAAGAGGCACCGGCTAGAAGCACACTGCCCAGGGACCTAGAACCCGAAAAAGAAAGACACAATCTAGATGACTCAAGGTCAGGCAGGGAGTGAGTCAAACAGAGGTGACACCCAGAGAGCTCACCAAGGCTCTGCCTTAGTGGGAATGGAGAAACACCAAATGTAAGCAAGGTCTAATCAAGTCCAGTAAGGACATGTTTAAAGAAAAGCTGACTCAGAACTCTGCACCTCGAAGTCCAGAACCCAGGGAAATGGGGTTGCCGGACATGCCCCAAAGGAGCAAATTTGAGGGCAGCATAATGGCTGGATGGGGGAAAACTGGCTTTAGAGACCCAGACAGTCACAATTTTATAGCCCAAAGACGCATCTATAAACTTCCTTATAGCTTGCGGGAGCTCATGTGCCCTCTCCATTACGTGAAGAAATCCAGATGGAAATAAAAGAGAGGGACGGGGAGTACAGCCCAGACTCCTGCACTGAGCCTCGCTCGGCCCTCTAAGCAGAACTTCCATTCTTCCCCTAAGATGTAGGTGAGGGTGGCTGTAAATGAAGCACAAGGGATAGAGAAGTATAAAGAAATGCCATTGGAAAAGGACACAAATCTATTTTCCTGTCTACAGGGCAAAGCATGGGGAAGAGAAAGGCGGGATTCTGGATGAACTGAAAGGAGGGGGGGACGTTAAGAAACCAGAACCCCTCTGCCGCACCCGACACAACACACACCGACAGACGCTACAAAGTTCTCCTCCTTTAGGCTTCTGGCGTCCAGTTCCTTGGGACTCTTTCCTGAGGCACTTGGTGCCCGGGGTCCCAGCTGGGGGACTCTCAGCTGTGCCATGGCCTTTGGGTCCCCCCGCCAAGCCAGGCCAGGATCCTTGCCAACTGGTGCATTTACACTCTCTGTCGGACTTCTCTTCCGCTTGTCTGGTTCTGAGGAAAAGGTCAAATGTAGGAAGAGGTCAAAAGAGACACTGAGTGAGAGTCCAGGTGTGGGAATGAGGGGGGAGAAGCAAGGCCAGAGGAGGATGTGGAAGGGAAGAAAAGCTGACATCGTTCTTTTCCATGACGGGAAAACACCCACTACATACATACACGCACTAGAGACCAAAATCCCAAAGCCTAACAGGAAGCAGCTTGACACTGGGAAACTCGTCAAGGGGCCGAGTTCATTCTTTCAGAGAAGAGTGGGAGAGCGGTGGACAGCATGCTGCCTTGCTGGTCCGATCCCTACCTTTACTATAGTAGTGGGTCTGGGCGATCTCCAGAAGCGCAAAGATGCTGGCCATGCCACCCAGACCTGCGTGGGCGTAGGACTGCTCCAGACTGAGGACCGTGCACTTGAGCAGGTCTAACATGCCCTTGTACACCTTCCGACCGATCTCCTGCAACAATAACCCAGGGGCAAGAGTTGGGACAACCACCTCTGGCGCCCATGTCCCTCTTCCCAGTTGATTCCAACCCCCAACCCCCAGCACTGACCACATCTGGGATGATGTCCTGCTGGGCCTCGTCCTCTGACTGCACCGTGCGGCTCAGCTTGCTCAGGACAAAGACTCTCAGCTGCTCGCTCTCCAGCAGCCGTCGCACCTTCTTTGTGTTGAGCCAGCCAACTCCCTGGCCGTCCAGCACGCTGTGCACCACCTCCTTCAGGAACTGCTGGTTCTCACTGGAGGGTCCACATACCACTTCTGTGGTCACTGGCTCCTTTGCAGAGCATCTCCCCCTTTCACCAGACTAGATGTTTGCCTCCAAGGGCAAAACACAAAGTTTGGATGTCTCCAAACATGCAAGTCCACTGCAAACCCTACCTCTCCAGACGGCCTGGTTTGCCCGAGTACCCACCACTGCTGGTACACTCTGCTCAACACCAAGAGCTATTACTGCCGCATGCGGATTGAGTCAGGAGGGGAAGGGATCTCATTTACCCACTGAGAGCTTCCCTCCCACTTTTGAGCATCGCTAGTGTTTGGTACAAGGATCACTACCTCTATCTGAGAACTTCTAAAACAGCTCTGCCATTTATTACCTAGAATTGCTGGATCGACCCTGAGGTGATGGAGGCTCTCTTTTCACTGTTGGGCTGTGTTTAATGACCGATGACTTCTGGTCCACTAAGGCCCTCCTGTTTCCTACAGCCAGGAAGGTAGAATGAGAGATATCACTACTGTAGTCCAGTAGCTGGTGTCAGCACAGCCCTGGGTAGCCGTGTTCCACACCCACTCCCTGGAAGGGCTGGGTGAGGGCAGCACTGGGGCATCACACATAGGCAGAAAGCAGCCGTGGCAATGTGGAGGAAGTGGGCATGGAGACTCAGGCCACTCCACATGCACCAGCAGCACACCCCATGGGCAAGCATGGGCATCCCGGGGCACGGGGCAAGGCAGGTCACTCGAGTGATGCCGCTTGCTCCATGAGGAGGATGGCCCTCAGGCAGGCACAGGAGATGCTAGGAAAAAAGATCATGCATAGCTCACGGGCAAGACCCACCTTCACCACTCCCGGGGCCGGCTTCAGTAACAATCTCCATTAGAGTATTTAGCCCAAATACTGGGACACAAAATACACAATTAGTAGGTGCACCATGATACCACAACCCCTGTACCCCTCAATGGAGCTGTAAGTCAGATAATCTGAGCATTCTCCCAAAGCTTAGTGCACATAACCTTAGTTCTTAGGCACCTCAGAGCTGGAAGCCAAGTGGCCACGAGACGACTGAGGCTCGAGGAAAGACCATCCTTAAGGCTATGGCCTCTCAAAGCCAGAGGCAGGGTAGTAACACAAGGAGCCTTTAGGTACTAGGCAGGCACATGCGTGAAAGGGGACCATGGGTTTTCATGAAACATCTAGCACAGGGGTCCAGGGGGGCTGCAGGTATGCAGAGGGAAGAGACCCAACTTGTAGATGCTGTCATGGGAAGGGGGGTGGGGGTGAGGATGGGAGCTGGATGGGAGTGATGAGTGCAGCAAATGAAGTGAAGCAACAGCATGCAATGAAAGCATTTCAATTGCTCTCCCCTTTAACTATATCAAATGAAAGCCAGTGACGCTAACACCTTTCCATACCTCACCTACTGAGCCTGTGTAGACTCACTCTACAGGGCTGGTTAGCTCCCTACACCACTAGCTATGATGTCCTTTTGCCCATCTAGCCTATGTTCCCATCCCCACCAAAGAACATTCCCTAGATTCCTGACATTTTTAACACTGGGAAGAGAGGTCAGTTAAAAAATACATGAAGCTGTTTCTCATGGTGCTTCCTTCTGTGACTAAATATTTCAGCACAAAATCCAGAGTAAACAAACAGAAGTCAGAGTAAATTCAGAAGACCCCTTCAGGGCTTCCCTGGTGGCGCAGTGGTTAAGAATCTGCCTGCCAATGCAGAGGACACGGGTTCGAGCCCTGGTCTGGGAAGATCCCACATGCCACAGAGCAACTAAGCCCGTGAGCCACAACTACCGAGCCTGCGCTCTAGAGCCCACGAGCCACAGCTACTGAAGCCCGCGCGCCTAGAGCCCGTGCTCTTCAACAAGAGAAGCCACCGCAGTGAGAAGCCCGCGCACCGCAACAAAGAGTAGCCCCCGCTCTCCACCACTAGAAAAAGCCACACACAGCAACGAAGACCCAACGCAGCCAAAAATAAATAAGCAAAATAAATAAATTTATAAAAAAGAAGAACCCTTCAAACTGTCAGAGATCAAATAAGGTCTTAATTGCCCCTAGAAGCCGACCAATGCTATCAGGCCCATTCATAGGGCCTAAGTTGACATGAAGCCAAAGTAAGAGACTTCTTGACTCTATAAACACTGCCAGGCTCTTCACAACCATTTCCTGGGGGGCCAGCTCTTTAGGACGGAATTTGTCCTAAGTTCATACAGTAGGAACCTGGCAGATGACTGGTGGCAGCTGACTGGTGGCAGCTGATGAGCCCTATGTTAATTACGTGCCTCTGACAAAGGCTCCCCCCAGAAGCAGCAGTAATCCCCCAATTGCCGTTACCCTATATGATATAACAGGGCCTTCTCTTTAGCTACAAAAGACAGTTTTCCATCTGAAAACCAGCAAGAACTCATGATGTGCAGTGAAAGCCATGGGAAGCCATATGAGAGGCAATGGCCAGATCAAAGGATTCTTCATACATGGGGCTCCTGAGAAGCACCCACAGGCCTGAAATATTTCCCAGAGAATCTTGGCTTGGCAAAAGGAGGGCTGGAGTTACCTTTCAGACTGGGGAAGGGCGTGGTTTTCTCTCGAGCTCCTTTGGTAGGCAGTGTGAGATTTGAAAGACTGAAGCTCGTACTGTGGTTCCGATACAGACTGCCTGTCAAGGGGAGCGAGTGAGAGCAGTGAGTCAGAGGGATAAAGAACCAGAGCATTCTGCTCCAATGACCGTATCATCATCTTCACCCTCCTCCTTTTCAAATGCAATCCCAGAACCTCTGACCTCGCTGAGAAAGGATCACGCCTAACTCGGGGCAAACAAAGGGGCCACTGCCAGGACTGCTCACAACCCAGTAACAACTTTCTCTGACGGCTTCCCACGATAACATCCAAGTCTCTCTTCTACTGCTGACCCAGCATGAACGCCGGCAGTTAACGCGCTTCCGGTCTGATGTTGGTGCTGTCCCTCCTGGGCTTCTAAACTCACCATCACAATTATCCCCCATGTCGGCTTTCTCCGGTCCCTAGTCTGTCTTTAGCCTTTAACTGACACCACCCCTCATTTCTGGTAATTTTCTCTATGCACAAGTCAATGTCACATAGATTTCAAGGCGCGCTGATGAAAAAGTCCTTTCCCAGGCAAAGAAGATATTAGATATATACCCAAATCAAATTTGACCAGAATATTTCCAAAAAATATATGTACAAGTGTATGATTTTTAATATAATGATGATTTTTCAGTTAACAGCTAGCTGTCTTACCTGAAACAGACTAAAACCTCCAGGTATAAAGATAACGACTAATCTGTCCCTGTTCTTCAGTTGACCTCCCCTGAAAATACCTTATTCAGTATCACCCAAACGACCTTATCCGGAGCTTGATAACGCCAACCCAGCCCTATATCTGAAGCTCTAAGCCATACCTGCCATGGTCAGGCCCTGCTGGAGTGAAGATGGGACAGAAGCGTGAGAGAGCTGAAGGCACTTACTGGCAAAAGACATGATGCCCCCGAAGCCCTCAGTGCTGTTGTTGGAGACGGTGGAGGTGGGCGAGCTCGCTCGAGAGTCTGACTCTGCATCTGAGTCACTTGCCAGTTTCAAGCTGTTGGGCCGCAGCAGCTTTTGAGCCCTTGAATGCACAGTGGCACCTATAAGCCCCAGGCAGGGGTACCTAATCTTGGGCGTGTGGGCCTGATGCTACACTGCGGTCACCTCTCCCTCCCCACAATTTCTAAATGCCTAGATCAAAGCACGACCCTCTGGGGACGCAGGACCATGAGAGCCTTCAGACTGCTCAGACTTTCTGGTTAACCCTCGCCCAGGGTCCACTGTAGTGAGGTCCTTCAGTCACCCATCTAGAAGGCAACCCCAGGCTCTCACCGACTGCCACTGACATGTTGGCTGAATCGGGGAGTGTAACTTTCCCCCTGCTCATCATCATCTTCCTCAGGGGGAAAGCCATACTGGGGCTCGAAGTATGGATTATCATAGGTTCGCCGGCGCACTGACCCCTCTCCAATTTCTGTCTGACGCCTGTCCACGTTCGCTTTGCCAATGCTGGGAGGCACGCTGGGGAGGGACCTGGAGACGCCTACTGCTGCCTTATCATCCATCTCCGTTGAGTCGGCAGGTTCCTAGGGGACATATTAAATAGAAAGGAGTCACCTGGTGCCCTGTGATGCCTTCCTATGTTCTCAGTTCAAGCCAGGCCTGTCAGGTTCCTAGCCTAAGGGGTATGTGAGAAAAGATCTCTGTTATACCCCTGTTCTCTATCTCCACAAATTATGCAAAGGGGATCTCGGCTAGCCCCTGAACAAAGTTGGATGTCCTTCTGGGGTCAAACTGTATCTCACAGGCTCTAAACTATAGGATCTACGGAGAGGAAGAAGGGGGAAATGTGAAGAAAGTAGTAAATTAAGTGAATAGCTTCATCCTAGCTTTCCTAACAGAGCTGAGGCCCATGTCCCAAGTAACAGTCCTCACTTATCCACTCCTCCAAGTCCTCACGTACAGAACTGGCTCCATGGATAACGGTGCCGGGGCTACTGCTGGCGGTGGTGCTGGAGCTGGAACGCAGAGGGGGGTTTTCCTGAGAGTTCTCGCTGTCTGGGCCAGGTTCCTCTGCTTCCTTCTGGCTCTGCAGCTCATCAACAGCTACCTCACTGGCATCCCCCAGTGCCACGTGTGTCAGAGGATCCACGTCTGCCAAAACCCAAGGATTATATGTATGGCTGATTCACTTTGCTGTACAGTAGAAACTAATACAACATAGTAAATCAACCATACTCCAAGGACTTCCCTGGTGGCGCAGTCGTTAAGAATCCGCCTGCCAATGCAGGGGACATGGGTTCGATCCCTGGTCCGGGAAGATCCCACATGCCACGGAGCAACTAAGCCCGTGCGCCCACAACTACCGAGCCTGAGCTCTAGAGCCCGCGAGCCACAACTACTGAGCTCACGTGCCGCAACTACTGAAGCCTGTGCGCCTAGAGCCCGTGCTCCGCGACAAGAGAAGCCACCGCAATGAGAAGCCTGCGCACCGCAACGAAGAGCAGCCCCCACTCGCCGTAACTAGAGAAAGCCCGCACGCAGCAACAAAGACCCAATGCAGCCAAAAAGATAAAATAAAATTAAAAATAAAAAAAACTATACTCCAGTTAAAAATTAATTAAAAAATATTTTTTTAATTAAAAAACAACAACAAGGATGGCGGGTACAGACCATACCATCACAGAACCCCAAACCCTGTCCCAAGCTGGCCAATTTCTCCAAGTACACTTACTAGGAGTATCACCATTGATGTCACATTTCATCATCTCACTGACAAAGTCACCAAGGGAAGAGTAAGAAGAGCTTGAGTCATCATAATCCATACTATCACTGCCGCTGCAGAGTGAGGAGCAAAAAAATAAAACAGAAAGAAGGGGCAGGGAGGAGAATCAGCAACCAGCATTAGGAAAAATAAACAGAGGAGCACTCTTAACTCAAGGCCAGGGAGCAAGACAAAATTAGGAAACTAACACAAAACAATCAACCAAAATATAACCCAAGGCTTCGAGAACTCATGTCTAAATCCTACAAAATTCTGCAATTGTGCTAAATAACGGCTAGCAAGAGCCTCTTAGACTTCAAGAACTGTCTTGCTGCCATAAGGGGCTGCTCACCTGTCATCAGTAGGGTCAGAGTCAGAGTCGTGCTCCGGCGGCACGCTCAGCGCCTCGGCCAGGTGGGAACTGCTGTCATACACTCGATAGTGGACAGGCTGCAGCTGGTGGGTGTACCACTTCGGCTTGTCGCCTATCAGGGCTGGATCGAATGTGTCTACCCACGGAGGAAAAAAGGAGAGAGTCAGCAATGAGGGAAAAAAATCAAGCAAAACCTAAAAGAAAGGTGGGAAAAAGTCTAAAGCAAAATCAGAATGGCAGGGGCACGTGGAAGATTAGAAAGGGAAAAAGCAAAGGGAAGAGCCATCAGGAGGACAAACGCAGAAGGAGGGGCAAAGCAGAGGTAGGTGGACTCACTGTTGTGAATCCGCTGAAAGGCATAGTTGGTGGGGTTGAGGATCCATTCTCCAAAGTACTCCACAGCCTGAGTCCTGGCCAGTTTCTCAGCAAAAGGGGTCTGTCGGGGACGTGAGGCTAGAAAGGAGCCAGCTTGGAAAGCTACCACGGGCCGGGGGAAGAGACGCAAGGTACGTGTGTGCATCTGAAAGCCCTGCAGCACGTTGGGGGAGTTGAAGAAACGGACCATGGCCACTCTGGGGAAGAAGGGGATGGTGAGATGACCTGAGTCCCTCGCCCTGCACAGCAAGGATCCCTACGATCCGAGGCCTCAGACCACCTCCCACAGTCATCATTTAACGGGCTTCCAACAGCAAGGAGAGAGGTATCTTAAAGAATCATCAATCCCCTTCTTCACACAAGGTCTAAGAGGCCTGCGAGTATGATCATTTCTTCTGTTTGCTTTTACTAATGTGGCAAATGTAACCAAATATTATATACATTGTGTACATAAAGAACCTCTGGCTCAGGGAAGTAATCTGCCCCAAGGTCACTGAGTGAGCAGAGACCAGTTTAAGAGCTTGTGACTGTGGGGATGGCTTGGCTGTACCTGGTTGCGACATCCACAGAATCCACATCGTTGCCATAGATGAGTGGGTTGAATTCAGTGGAAGGTGTAGACTGCAGGTCATTCGAAGGCCTTCCCAAGAGAAGAGGGATGTCCTGGCCTTCGTGGAATTTCTCCAGATTGAGGATGGGCTGGGTGTTGAGACTCATGCTGGCGAGGGCCTGCGGAACAGTAAGTCCCTCAGAGAAGGCAGATTTCTGGGGCAGCCAGCCAATCTCAATTCCTAGAAAAGAACCTTCACCTTTGAAACAAAAATCCAAATATTTCAACCTTTAGAAAACAATCTGAATTATGAAATCTTCAGCTTAAGCCAATCTGACTCAAGGCAACGATCTAAACGTGAAGTCCGAGGCAACAGTTTGCAAATTTGCTTTCGCTACAAAATCTTGGTTTTCAATTGAAATCTATGTAGAAATATAAACAGTCGAAACATGTAAAAGTACAGCTTCTCTGAAGGACATAAGGAACCCAGAGCCTCATCTGCTCGGGGGTCCCAACCTAAATCAACCCTCAGAGGCTCCATGGGGCAGTTTGAAAACCACTGGTCTAGCCCAGCAGTGTTTCTTAAATGTTAATGAGCATAGGAATCACCTGGGGATGTTGTTACACTGCAGATTCTGATTCAATATACTTGAGGTGATTCTGCCCTTTTAACAAGCCCAGGTGATGCTAATGCTGCTGGTTCATGGACCACACTTTGAGTAACAGGGGTCAGGATAAAGGATTTGTGAGCCCAAAAATCTTAGCTCCTACAAACATTTAAACTCCAATATCACATATCAACCTCTCCATCTCATTAGTCACACTAAAGCAATCATCAAGAATGAAAAACACAGCAAAGGAAGACAGCTAGAGAACTTTCTGAACTTGCAATCCTCACCGGACTCTGCAGTAACAAGATATCATGTTACGTCAGTAGTGATGAAGCAAGTGAAAAAGAGAGAGGGATAATACAAAAATCACCCATTTATATCCAAACAGATTTCACCTACAGGTATTTTTTTCTTCTTTTTTTTAAAAAAATTATATATATATATATATTTATTTATTTATTTATTTATTTATTTTTATTTATGGCTGCGTTGGGTCTTCATTGCTGCGTGCGGGCTTTCTCTAGTTGTGGTGCGCGGGCTTCTCATTGCGGTGGCTTCTCTTGTTGCTGAGCACAGGCTCTAGGCGCACAGGCTTCAGTAGCTGTGGCACGTGGGCTCAGCACTTGTGGCTCGTGGGCTCTACAGCTCAGGCTCAGTAGTTGTAGCACACGGGCTTAGCTGCTCCGTGGCAATGTGGGATCTTCCTGGACCAGGGCTCGAACCCGCATCCCCTGCATAAGCAGGCGGATTCTTAACCGCTGCACCACCAGGGAAATCCCCACCTAGAGGTATTTTCTAAGAACTGAGACAACACAGAGAGAGATTCCTGAAGACCCTTCAAATGACAGATTCCTAAAAAGAAATACAGAGCTATCTACTGGTGGTCCTACATAACACATACAGCAGCGCAGAGGACCAGGGCCTCATCACACTTTACCTTCAGGTACTGTGTTCAGCATGCAGAAGAAGAAGAAAATCAATCAATGAAAAATGTATATAAGGGTTGTTTTATACAAGGATTACAAGGATTAGAGGGCGGGAGGGGGCATACAGTGAATTAAAAGGAAGGTAAAAAGCCCTTTTTGAGATTCACCCTGCAAGCCAGAAATGGGATGCATCTCTTTTTGAGCCCACCCGAGGCTAAGAAAATCTACTCCACTTGAAGTCTGAAAGGAAACTGGCTCTTACAATAATAGCTGTCTGCCTACAGAAGTCCTATAGCTGCTTGCTTTTCTTTTCTTTTCTTCATTCTTCACCTACCTGTTTTAAATGTTTTTTCAACTCTAATGACTCTGGTTCTGGAAGGATAGGTAGCACTTCTGCATTGGTGGGGGCAATCACCTGCACCAGAAGAAAGATAAAAGGCATGACCTTAGAATTAGTTGCTCCAAAGTTTCTCTTACATAAAGGTAAGTAACAAGAATAGGAGGTTATATATACGGTATTATTATATATATGCAAACACATATATTATATACACACATATAAAATACGCACATACACGTGTATATGACATATATACACACCTGAAAGGAAATATCATACCTAAATGTTATTGGTGACTATCTCTAGATAACAGGATCATAGTTTTTACGGACTTCTTTATACTTATTTGCATTTTCTAAAGTTTTACAATGAACACATATAAGGGCTACCTACCAAAGTCTGAGTGTACTCACACTGCAGAATGTTAATATACTTTTTTAAAGTCTGCAGTTTCTTACTAGAAACTACACTCCCAGAAAGCCATTAGATGACCTACACCATAGTAATAATCCTGCAACCACAACTGCCCTACTGCTCTTGGAAGATGTGGGGAAGCATTTAACTCCAGCAAAACTAAATCTTATAATTCTTTGAGTCCTAACCAAGGCTTATTAAGCCAATAAAGTAAAAGCAGTATTTTTTAAAGAGTTGTTTCAATGAGTCTCATAACAGCAATCACCCACAAACTTAGAAACTTCCTGGGAGTAATCTAGAAAAACAGAACACAATCCTATTCTAGACCCTACAATGCCTCAGCCAAGAGCCTCACCCTACTGCTGTCCAGATCCACTAGCCATACATCATCAGGCATTTTGAAGTCCAGTTTGTAGAGGAAGAAGCTGGCAGGGACCCCGATGATGTACGGTGTTGGAGCCAACAGCAGCTGTGGAAAAGACAAGAAACAAAACCAAAACCAACTGCGATCACATATCGAGTCAGGATTTTTCTAGATAAGGAAAACGCAGGTCCACAATCCCTCTTCCAAATCCTTGAAGGTAGATGTGTTTCAAAGCTCAGAATTTTTCAGATTTTAGAAAAGTAAGAGTGCATATTCTACATATTATGTAGCACCTGCAGTGGTGTAGCCAGCAGCCTATAATCATTATATTAACTGTGATAAATAAAAAACATACATAGCATAGGTTCTGCCACCAGGTCAGTTCAGATTTTGTAGACAAATAAGTTATAACAAGGAATTCAGGACGAGTACTGATTTACAACTTCTCTGGGCATTGAGCCTTCGCCCTCAGAGCTGGACAGAGTTAGAACAGAGGTGACAAAGCCAGAAGACACCTTGAGACTCACCTGTTCTGCGGATGCCATGCAGGTGGGCAGCAGTGGAATAACAGGAAACATATACTCCAAGGGATAAATCATTGCCACAAATGCCATCACAGACATGGAGAGTGCGTTGTAGTCTCGGGACTGCAGCACCACCTGCAACGAGCCACACCACAAGGGTTACCCGACAGGAGAAGGTCTGTGAGAAAACAGCTTGCCACACTACAATTTAGTTTCTGTTTCACCAAGTCTACGGCTCTGGGAGCTTAGTTTCCACACTTATCACTACCTCACACCCCATCCTGCCCGCCGCCTCCCAGCACACGCACTGCAATAATTCTCCCTTGAATCACTCCTTGTCATCCCAGTTCTTGTACCCCCAAATTCCAGGGTCACTCACTGGAACAGAACGACTGAAATTTTCAGAGAATTAGGCTGGTATAGTTAAGAAGAATTCAAATGAGTGTCAAGCCCTCTGAATATATCCCACACAATACTAGTACCTTAATTCAACCCACACAAACTGAGTACCTGTTGTATACCTGGTATTGTGTTATCTCCTGGAGACAAAATGATGCAAAAGATGTAGTCCCTATCCTCAGAGAACTCATGGGTCTAGCCTCTGCCACATTTCAAAGCCCTTTCCCTAGAACAGTCTAGAAAGCTGGCCCTCTCACCTTGTGCTCTAACAGGATGCAGGTTAGCACCTGAAGACAGGCATCCACACCCAGAAGTTCCAAGGGAAGGTGCAGTGGGAAATCCACTAGGGTGAATCGAGAGGGGTCTGGAAGCGCAAAGGTCAGAGCTTGCTGGAGCTCCTGGGGCAGGACCTCAATGTCCACTCGCTTCTGCCCTGAGACGGGTACTGGGGAGCGCAGCAGTCGATAGATCCAGGCCTCAATCTCTCGAAGGTCGTGCAGAAGAGCACTTGACTTCTCCTCCACTAACAACGATCCAGTAAAGATGCGCCACACGGTGTCCCTGAGCAGCAGACAGCAGGAAACAGACGCATAAGCACTAGGAGCTGACACCCCACTGCAGCCCAACGTGACCACAGAGGGTCAAATGACAGAAACTGGAGAAGCCCACCCTTTGGTCTCAGCTAGGATCACAAGGTATACATACGAATAATGACAAGTGCAAAAATGTATACATAGCAAGACTTATTGTCCTGCCCGTCGTGAAACACCAAATTCCTCAGCATCACTCCAAACACGATTATGGAAGGAAGTCTAACTCTGCAGTAGTCTTTTGCTTAGCACGGACTAACACAAAGTGCTTAAGGAGGTCTGAAGGACCTCAGGCTTTAGAGGAAAATTCCTATGCCCCTCACAAGCCAATTACACCTCAACTCTAGATGCCACCCGTCTCTTCTGAGCATCAGCAGAGAACCGTACCTTTGTATGCCTCGAGGGATGCCCAGTTTCTTGCCCAGCAGTCGCTCACTACAGCAGTCCACCAGACGTCTGAGGGTGTACAGACACTCCCGGAAGGCGGAGAAGAAGGGGTAATGGCTGAGCACACACAGGGACGTCAGAGTGCTGTTGCGGGAACGGCTCTCCGCCTTGGCCCGGCGTTTGCCCCGAGGAGACTGGTTCACATCCGGGATAGAGTCGGCACTGGGAGGCTGCAGGGACGGGCCACTCTCCGAGCTCTGGGTGCCAACCTCTTCTGAGATGCAGGTGGCATGGGGTCCTTCCTTCCCACGGGACCCTGCCCCGGCCTCCCCCTTTTCCTTAGGCATGCGCTTTTGGAAGGAGCGGTAGAAGTTGACACAGATGCCATAACGCGTGACTCCGGTGTCCTTGTCGGTGAGAGTGAAGACAAAAGAGGTGTCCTCGCGCAGGCTCATGCGCCGTTGTCGCACACTCAGGCAGCCCTCCGGCTGGCAGAAGAACACGACATCCGGGGGCAGGGGAAACTCGGCGTGATCCTCCAACGGGTATCGCCGTAGCAATTCTGGAGTTTGGGCCACGCTATCACTGCTCGGGTGCCTGGAGAACAGAAAGACAAATTCAGCAGCCTGAAGGGACAGAACGCTCTTTCAAATTTTAACCACAGTCAAGAAATAAATGCTCTTTTGGATAAAGAAACCTAGCTGCAGGACCTTGGAAAACATGCCACATTTAGCTGTAGGCTAAATGAGGTCTGTGTTGCCATGAAGATGCCCACCCTGAAATAAAAGGAAAATGGCGACAATAAAATTATCACTAACACCTTGAGATGACTAGCATCTTTCAAGGTGTATTAGCTAATGAATTCCCAAAACAGCATATGTAGAGAGAGAAGGAACACAATGTACTTTTCCTTTGTACAAAATAAGGAAACTGAAGTGTATAGAGTATATTTGCTCAAAATCACAAAGACGCTAGTTAAGAGCAGAGTTTTGCTCTGTCTCTGTTCCTCCAGGCCAACACTCTCAATCTACCTGTTTTGTTTCCCTTACTGGCAACAAGGTTCCCATCAGGGTGAAATAATAGAAGAAGGAGATATGCAGGGCTTCCCTGGTGGTCCAGTGGTTAAGACTCTGTGCTTCCAACGCAGGGGGGCAAGGGTTCAATCCCTGGTCAGGGAACTAAGATCCCATGTGCTGCATGGTGCGGCAGCGGGGCGGGGGCGGGGGCGGGGAAGAATGAGCTATGCAAAGCAACATGGAAATGGGGAAGGGAAATCATCACAGATTTCGTGGCTATCCCAGATGACAAGAGAGAAATCAGTCACTTCTTGGTTACCTGGCCCCTACGATCACTAGGTAGTCAAGTAACCGAGGACAGGACTTCTTCTTTTGCACCATGGCTCCGATTCATCAGTTCATCTCAGAGAAGCTTCAAGGCACCAAGCATGGAATCAACGTTCCCCGGAGGAATTCTGATATTATCTGAAAATCCAAGTCTAATAGGAAAAAAGTACTGATAAGATCCATTGCTGTGCCTAAGGGACTCATCCCTCTCAGCTTCATCCCAGCCAGGGACATAGATCAGAAGATCTTCCATTTTAGTACTAAAGATAGGAGAACATGACACTTTTCCTAGCCTAGAGCTCTGTCCAGGCTTATGAGCTCACAGAATCAAATGTCAAGAAGCAGAATAAATAATGGCTCACCTCTCCGTCCCTACAAACCAGCTCATTTCCAGCCTCACCCCTGGGGCTGTTTCTGTTTCTGAAAAACAGGCCTAGTCAGTCTAATCTGGACTCAGTTATTATGATAACAAAAATTAAGTCACTTTCAGGACTGCTCCAGGGTGGATCAGAATCAAACCAGACTCTCTAATCAGAACTAATCTGCACTCCTAGCTCTAGGTGGAAACCTAATTATTCTCTGTTCCAACATTCTGCATTCAGCTTGATGTGAAATTACCACATAGTCGATACAGTTAATTGCACTCAGACAGTAACAAGAGCTGGCTACTCTACCCCAGGCGTTCTCAAATGAAGAATATCTATGCCCCAATTGCTTCATCTGAACCATTTTTCTCCCCTCTTCAAGCAAGAAAGGGGCCCAGTGGCTACTGCCACTAGCTCTGCCCTTGGTGCTGAATCACAGTCTTCCACTTATATTCTGGTCCCAGGATTCGAATTAGTAATACAATATACACAGATGAGGCCTTGTCCTTCTTTATCTTACAGAGATGAAGAATTAGATGCAGAAATAACAGTATTCCTGCAAGGACAGGGAGAGGTGCTCAGAGGAATTTCTAAGCCATAGTCCAAAAATTAGAAAAAGCTTACATGTCTTAACTGTAATTTATTTCCTGTTGGGTCTCCATACACTCCTCTAAATAAAATGTTTCACTCCATGACAAGGTTACTTTCAGTGCTTCCAGCATTCCACCTCTGTGCTCCACACTAAGACCTTGTTCACTATACACACAGAGAGAATCCCATTACACTACACACACCCTCACTCTCTTCTTTGCTGCTGTGTGCACTCCCATACATACAACGTTCACACTCCCTGTATGCTTAAGGCTCTATTTGATTTAGATGAGAAGCTCTTTTTTCTCTCCTACTCATTAAAAAAAAAAAAAAAAAAAAAACTATTTACAACACCTCTCAAATCCTCAAAATACCTCTCCCTCCTTTCTCTTGCTCCCAATAGAGGACCTGCAGGTAATAGGATTCAGTTTTGTCTCCATAGCAACTCTGGCTCCAGCACTATTTATAGCAGAGTCACCGCCCCTCCCCTGCTTGGGGACCGCACAGTGCTATCAGCTGCTACTCCAGAGCTAGCCAATGCCCATAATAATTCATTCTCCTTGAATCTAGAGACACCTCTTCCACTGATAGCACCTACTAATTGTTAGGTTGTCTTCTCCCCCATGTGCCTTTAGTTTGCACTTTGTCTTAATTCTGGATTTTGATAGAGATATCTCCTTTCTACACAACGAAAACGAAGTTCCCAAGCTCGCAAAATACTCATTTCTAGGCAACACTACCACCCCAAAAGCCCTTTGGGACTCTCCGCTGCTGCGGACTCATAAGCATACTGCAGAACGTGAGGCACTGCAGTACGAACTGTTAGAGAGCAGAGTTCAGCTCCTCCCAAGCAGAATGAGAAGGGGAGGGAAACACAGAAATGAAATGGGAGATGGGTAAAAGCATAATTCATTCCCTAAAGAATTATATGGAAAATGCCTAGTGAGAGCCAAAGTATCTTAAAATAAAACAGAATTTACAGGACCAGAGCTCAAGGCTAAGCCTTGAAATCTATGTTTACGTTGAAAACCAGGAGCCCTTTCCAAATAAAAATCTCAAAGATCACACCTGAAGTATCTTCTAATATATTAGGCATCAGGCCTCTATCCTTGGTGGGATCCCAGCCCCCTCTCCACTGAGAATCACCTGATAAAACTGAAATAATTATCATGCACTACAGTGCTCACCTCCCTCCAAAGCCACAAGGACCCAGAGATCTTGTGACTATTCTAGCCACTAGTGATAGGATGGATTTTTAGTCTCAATTTATATCTCATCAACAGCCACTGCCTTTGGTTTCTCAGATTGCAGAGATAACCAAGGCCTTTCTTCCCATTCTCTCCCCTCTCCCCTCCTCACGAAGACTCTAAATTCTCTCGCATTACCTATAACTCACTCTGTCTTCACATCCACCCACTCTGCCTCTTGCCTCAGCTACATTTACTAATGTATAGCTCCTCGTTCCTAGGCCCTATATTCCAAAGGCATCAAGCTCAAAACGCATACCTATTTGCTGAAGTTCTACACAACTACCATCCACTCCATCCACAGACCTTTATATTATCTATGTCTTTTCAGCTTACAAATAGCCACATTAACCAACCCTTTGGATTTGCCCCTCATTTGGGGCAGGATGTCATAGTAAAACCACAGGAACCAGAGAGCGATATGACATCTTTGCTGACGTGAGCACAACAGGAGGCTCTCTCCCCTCCACCGCCTCCCCAGGCAGTGACCTTGCAAGCGCATCAGCACAGACTGGTCCAGCGTGGGGAAGAATGAGAGTAAAGAGGCAGGCAATAGGCAGGGTTGGGGAAGAGGAGAGGGCAGGAACAGGAGGACTAATTTAGAGGTGCACGAGGATGGGGAGGGAAGCAGTTGCAGGAAAAACTGAACGGTGTCTCCACTCTCCAACAAGCCAATTTTGAAACACCAAATTTAAAATAAAAATTTTTTTTTAAAGAACCAAACGTGCTTTTCAAACCCTAACCAAAAATAAGGCGCGCGGGTGCGCGCACACAAATACACACACGCACATACACATGCACACACACGCGCCATGTGGTCAGCACGGCTCGGGCCCCCGAGCTGGACAGCTCTGGCCGCCCCCTCACCTGCTGGACAGTTCTCCCCCGCCCCCGCCCCGGAACCAGGACCGCCCGCCAGCCCCGCAGGAATCTCGCCCTGCAGCCGCGAGCTGCGCCTAGGCTCGGAGCCCGAAACCCCTCGGCGGCCCGGACGCCCCCACCTCTATCCCCACCCTCTTCCCTACGGACCCCTGCTGTCCCTCTCGAGACCCTACGCCCCCTCACACTCCTTTAGGGCCTCCTTAGAGGCCCCTTCGCCCTAGAGCCCCTGTTCCCTCCCAGAGTCCGTTTCTCCCGTGGAGCCTCGTCCCAAACACCCTTCCGGGGCCCCCAGCGGCCCGGACCCTCCTACCTTCCGAGCCTTGGGGGACCGGCCGGGTTCGGCCAGACGTCCCCCGGCAGCCGAGCGTCAGTCGCTCCTCGGCGCGGGCGCCACTCGGAACGCACGCCAGTTCCGCGTCTGCACCGTGGGCTGTGTACCACTCCGACTCGGTGAAGGAGGGGGAGGCTGAGGGGCCAGGGGCCGGACCATCCACCCCCGGGGGGACAGGGCTGCACCAAGCCGAGCGCTGCAGGGTGGAACCGGACCTCGGGAGAGAGACGGCTACGCACACACCTATGCTTGTGGGAGTGGGAACGCGATGGGGAGCGCTGGGCCAGCCCAGCGCCTCTACGTGACAAGGGGAGGACCCAAAGGAATACTTTTTGTTTGGGTTGCGCAAACATTTTAATTCGACACGGAAACAGAGCCCATTTCGATGAACTGCGGATGAATCTGGAAGCGACGTCTCAAGATAAGCTGCCCTAGGACTTTCTCACCGTTCCCCTCACCTCATATCCCTCCCCCGCTCGCGCTTTGGAAGTGCCCAGCCGCGTGGGCAGGAAAGCCGGCGGCCGCGGCGGTGGAGCCTACCAATTCAGGGGCGGCGGGGGGAATTGAGGCCGGAAGGCGCGGCCGCGGCATCTCCTCCACCCGGTGCGCTCCAAGGCAGGGGGCGTGAGCGGCGCCGCGGTGCGCGCTGGGAGAGGGAGTCCAGCCCTTCCGCGAGGCTAAACCCGGGACACAGCAGCCTACCCCTGGCCTCAGGGGACTTTTCTCGCTGTCCCACAGGGCCTGCGGGCCAAGAGGAGGGATTGTTGTACCTTCTTAAGTATCAATGGAAAAACCAAGGCATTATACCCGCGCGCACGAACACAGGTGCACGACTGAGGCGTTAGTTCCGAAAATCCAACACCCCCTCCCTCACAGAAAGGCAACACGATCCCACGGGGATCGCTGAAGGGGGGCAAGGGCGCGTCCCTGCCTCAGCACTTCATTGACCCTTACATCGCAATGGGACTGGTAAAAGGAGGTCCCCACTCACTGCCAAGGCTGTCACTTGTGACTTGTCTCCCTCCTCTGAGTCTGGAAACGGACCCGCAAGGACACAAGCTTCCCTCCTGTGTTGTCGGGCCCCACCCCCATTCCAGAAATTGGTTTCTCTCATTCTGAATTCATTTTGGCCTTCCTGTACAAACAGTGCCAGGCCTATCGGTGAGGCAGCCCGGAGGCATTTATGCCCAAGCCGCAGAGTGACAGTGGAGAATTTATCTTGGGGCCCTGTGGGGAAAACAGGAAGTGGTAGAGGCAGGATGGGCAGGGCCCTGGAGAACCTTGTGCAAAGTGGCCCCCAGGTTCATCCATTGGGCCCGGTTAGTACAGTCTTCACATGGAGCACCGTTTTAGCAGGATCCCTACTACCCAGCAGCCACAAAACTCCCAACCCTTTGACTCTCCTTTAATGCCACTTGAGGATCTCCTTTGCCCAGCCCTCAGGAATGTTTGTCCTTCTCAGTCGGTTCCACCTCTAGGAGGCAGCCACCAGCCTCAGCCATCCAGCTCAGAAAACAGAAGATACAGGGGAAGATCGGTCACTCGTGCACATCCCAGATCTCAGAGAGCAGCGGGGGAAGCTTTTTATCCTGCAGGCGCAGCGCAAACACTTGCTCTGAATGGACACTGCTCAGTGTC